CTCATTGCATATAGGGCAAAGATTATGTTTTAATTTGTCCATTTTATTGCGAAACTTCTGTAGAAGGCCTTGTTCAGATTTATTGAGCTCAGATGGGACTTCGACACTCTGATATTACCGCTCTAGAATGTTTCGATCCTGCTCCGACATACCTTGATTCTGCTGCAGTTGTGGCTTCATAGATCATTGCTGCTGCGGCTGTGGTTGCTGCGGCTTTATGGCTTAACTCCACTGCAGCTGCGTTAGATTATGGTAGTTTTCAATATTTTTATTTGCTACTTTTAGGTATTTTCGTTCGCAATCATATATGTTACGTGCATCCTATTCTTCGGTAGTTTCTACCACTTTTCTTTTCCATTTTTTCTCACGTTTCTTAACAAGACGAGCCTTACGATGCTCAGGCGTTTTGTTTTCTCTTAATTTACATTTTTGAAGAGTGTTAGGTTAACTTTATTGCGCATTTTATCATAGTAGATGCGAACTAACAAATATCTCAAGAATAAAAGCTCAGTATTCTCGTTATTGTGGCTTATATGTGGCTTGTTACATATTACAAACATTGTTGGATGATATTACAATTTGTGTTATATTTTAATATTACATTCGATCACTTCATTGTTACATTTATTAATGACAATCATATTATATACAATTTTATTACAATTATTTTATTATAATGATTTTATTATTTGAATAAAAGCATACATCCCAATATAAAAAGAAAGGTTAAAAATCACTCCAGACACACAACGGTTCCCATTTTCTAGTAATATGTAAAATTAAAATTAAAATTGCAATTTACAATTATTAGATAATTTTGACTAAATAGAATTACTTATTACATATAAAATATTTCAAATTTCAAATATATATTTAATATAATTTTATATAAATTTATAAAGTATCTTTTTTTTCTTAAATTATTAAAAAATTTATTTTATAATTTTTTCTAAATTTCATCAAAAATACCAAATACAATTAATTGGAATAATAATGTAATTCAATTTTTGATTAATAAAAAAAAAACAAAAATTTCAAATATTAAAATATATTTAGAAAATCAAAATTATTTTTTTTTAAATAAAATTGTAAAAAAACTTAAAGAATTTAGTATAGATTTTATATCTTTGTAACGTCAAGTAAATTTAAAGGAATAATTAAGGATTGTAAAATAAATAAAATCCTAATTAAAAAAATTTTTAATTATTTAAATTTTATACAAAAGAAAAATTCAAAGAATAATAAAAGTAAAATTAGCAAAATATATTAAGAATAATTCAAAACTTTATTTTAAAAAAACCTGATAAGTATTTAAAAATACATCTATTAAAATTTAATTACATTTTAAAATTTTTATTATTTAGTTTCTTATATTAAAAGTAGAAGATAAAGTAAATTAGTTTGATATAAGTTTTATTATTTAAGTTTCAAATATTTTAAACTTATTTAACTTAAATTTTAATATTTACTTTTCTAGAAAATTTAAATACTTCTTATTTTTTCAATTTTTTTTTACAAAAATTTGTTTTATTACAAAGATTTATCTCACTCTTATTATCATTTAATACTAAAATATTATTACAAATTAAAAATCTCGTCACATAATTTATTCTAATTATTATATTTTTTATTATATTTTCTAACTATTATTATTTCTTTTTTTTTATTATTTCTATTTTAATTTTATATTTAGTTTTTTTTTTATAATTTTTTTACTGATTTTATGCTAAAAAAAAATTTTTTTTTAAATGAAGTTTGCTATTTCTACATATATTTAGGATTAATAATTATAAGCTAATCTATATTTGATAGTATTCTGTAAAATCAGATCAGATCAGATTTTCATTTTTCAGAATCTAAATCTGATCTGAATCTGATAGATCTGTTAAAATCCAGGTCTGATCTGAATCTGACTGATTGAATCTTAAATCTGGATCTGATAGATCAGTTTAAATCTAAATTTGATCTGATCTGAATCTAAAAGTTTTATTAAAAATAAATTTTTAGTTCTAAAAGAGATCTGAAAATATTTCTTTTCATTGAAAAGAACTTTTTTAGCTTTAAAAGAATTTTAAAAATTCATTCTTTTTCATTAAAAAGAACCTTTTCAGCTCTAAAAAAATTCTGAAAAATCATTCCTTTTTATTAAAAGAAACCTTTTTAGCTCTAAAAGAATTCTGAAAAGTCATTCCTTTTCATTGAAAAGAATCTTTTTAACTCTAAAAGAGTTCTGAAAAGTTATTTCTTTTTAATGAAAGGAAACAAATTTTTGGCTCTAAAAGAGATCTAAAAATTCGTTTCTTTTCAATGAAAGGAACTTTTCAGCTCTAAAAGAGATCCAAAAAATTATTCCTTTTCAATGAAAGAAAATAATTTTTCAGCTTTAAAAAAGTCTGAAAATTTGTTTCTTTTCATTGAAAAGGAACTTTTCAGCTTTAAAAAAGTTGAATTTAGATCTGACAAATCAGATCTGAATCTAATCTGAATTTGACGAATCAGATCTGAATCTGAATCTGAATCTGAATTAGATCTGAATCTGACAAATCTGATCTGAATCTGATCCGCCAGATTCAGATTAGATTTAAATCAATTGGAACACTAATATCTGATTAAGAGTAAGTATATTTTAACATAAATTTATTATTATAAGTATATGTAAAAATAAAAAAAATATACATAATTTTTAGTTATTAATCTAAAAAAACTAAAAAATATTGGTTAGTATAATCAACATATATTTATAAAAAATGTATTAGAAAAAGCATTTTTTTTTTATGCAAAATATTTTATATGAATATATGATTATAAATGATATTTTTTATTATAAGATTTTTGAAATAAGGATAATAGTGATTATAGGTAAAATGTAACTATAAACAATAGGTTTTATATAATAAAAATTTGGAACATCTAACTAGGATGACTATATAGGATAATATGATTATAACAAAGGTAATTATAATGAGAGTTAACTGTAATTATAAAAATTAACAATTTAAAAATATATATTAAATTTAAATATATAAAATAATATTTTCTTATTAATAAATAATAATAATTTGCTCTTGCTAACTTATATTTAAAAGCAGATTTTTAGAATTTATTTTTCTTATATAAATTATTTTTCTTTTTAAGAATTTATTTAAGTAGTAATAAGTTATTAATTTTTAATATACCTTATATTACTTTAAATATTTTTTTTTTTTTTTAATTTTTTATTAATTTGTGATCATTATTTCTTATTTATTTATTTTCTTTTTATAGGATTTAGATTAATAGTTACTTTAGTTTATTATTTTTTTATTATTTTTTTTTTTTTACTATACTTATAATTTTAAATAGAGAATATAAAGATTTATAACTTTGTGTGTATTTATCATTTAAAAACAGTAACAATAATATCAGTTGTTTAGAACTCGATTTTTTTTAAATTAAGATAATTAATTTTATTTATTATTGGTAAATTCATTAGCTATATATAAGAATAATTCTTTTAATCGGGTTTGATTGAAATTTTCTCCGAAGTTTAATAATGAACTTGCTACTTTCTCTTGAATTAAAAATTTATAGATAACTAATTTGTTTTAAATGTATACTAATTACATCGGAAAACAGTTTCGTATCGTCCAAGATAAGAAAATTTGAAACTTGAAAAATTCCGTAAAATTTGCAAATAAATTAAAAATGGTTTATTTCACGTATTTGTTCATAAATTTACGATGGAAATCACTTCGCAGAGTATCATTAATAAATCGTTTTTTAGGCTTATCATCAACTCCACGCGCTTGATTCTTAAAAATTACATCATCATCCCACCTAAAAAGAAATACCGACGTCAAATTTTAAAAAGGGTAATTTTAAACCAATTAACATTTCTATTTTTTTTTAAATTACCTTCTCTTAACACTGAAATCTTTGTTAAGAAGGGGATTTCCAACTAATGCCTCTTCTTGCCTTTGTCTTTCATCTGCTTCTAACTTATCGAATTCCTTTAGAATGAAAAAAATTAAAGGGAAGGTTATGAAATCGTTTTTAAAAAATGTAATATTCAAACAAACGATAATATTTACCTGTCGTTCTTTTTCTTCCGCACGTTCCCTTCTAATTTTCTCTAATTCAAGTTGTAAAGCTATAGCATCATCTTCCTCATCTATATCTTCACTGTACAAAAAAAAAAAAATAAACGTTAAATTCAATTAAATAACTTTAATAAATTTCCCCCCAAAATTATAAACACCTGTCATCACTGTCTTCATCACTATCATCATCACTGTCATCTTTATCCAAGACAGCGGCTTCTATTAACAATCTTCGACGCTTTTCAGCCAATTGATCTTCATTGAAAGAGAAGGAGCCATCACGAAAAGCTTCCCCTTGTAGTTTCTCAAAGTGTTCTCTTTCAGCTTTTAAAAGTTCTTCTTTGAGATCTATTTTATCAATTTCTTCCGTTGTGAGCTGGCCTGTTTGCCTATTTATAGATTAGCAAATAAAGGTTGTGAAACTAAATAGATTATACACTGTAAATATTAGATTAATCTTTACCTGTACTTAAGCTGAGTATGTGCTGCAAGATCTCGAGAGCTATATTGTAAAGTTGGAGCTTTACTATCATAACCACGAGCAGGATCAAACGTTGGTCTAGCAGCGGTAGTCATATTTGTTTAAAAAAATGTTGAAACTAGTAAGAATTAAAGTATTCGGTTAAAGTTAAACAACTGGAGGAGAATGAATGAATATTTTTTAAAAATAACCGAAAATTCTAGCGGCAAATAAATATGATAAATATGTTGTGCAACTAGTAGTTAGATCATGTGATGAACATATTAGAGGTTCTAACGTGTCGCTTTGTTTACTAACGCGGATTTTCGACGGAAACTTGATATCTCTTATTCATAGTAAGTTTACTCAATGAATTCCTAATTTTAAAAAAAATTTTTATTTTGAACCTCTATTCGTTCAATCTATACAAAAAAAAAAAAAAAAATCGAATTCAAAAAGTAATGAATAGCAAGAATAACAAGAAATCATCAGAACGATCAAATTCGCTTGATATTGATGAAAATACCTTTCGAGATTTGAAAATTACTGCGAAGGAAAAGCAAGATTTATTGGATAAGTTGGAAAATGAAAGTTTGTTTCAATTTATTATCGTCCCTCTGATTCAAAACGAATTAAATCACGTGAATTCATAATTCTAATTGAAAAAAACAAAATTATATATTATTAAAGTGAATGTACGTATTCAAAAACTCAAGCAGCAAGCTGAAGAGTTTGCCAAAGATCTTATTGCATGTTGTGAGCGAGAAATCAATAATCTTCCCAAGGAAATTAGACAATTACCTTTGGATGAATTTATTAATCTTTATCATGCTGATCCGGCTGAATATTTTGAACGGTGTATACAAAAATTATGAAATAACGTTTTTATACTTTTAGTATGATAAATCAGCCTGGCTATTTATTAGGCTACATGCAAGGAAAATGTCTTATCAAAGTTGAGAAAAATCTCGCAAAGATCAATCATGATTAGTTTTTAATCGGAAAGAATATTCTATTCAAACAGATCAAATCGGATTAAACAATATAAATAAATAAATTTATTTTAACCATTTTACAAATTTTTATACAAAAAAAAAAAAAAAAAAAAAAATTGTCTTTAAATAAGCTAATTATATAATACATTTTAAAAATAAGTATTATATATGATTAAGCAAATATTAATAAAGGAAGGAATAATAATAATAATTATGAATGATGTGATAATCAAGGAAACTGTTGATAATAAATCAAATTATTTTTTTTTTGTTTTTTTAACTATGTTATTAAGTTGTCAAATAATAATGATGAAAATAATGAATGTAAAGTTTACCGATTCACAAATACAATCATATTATTTATATGTATGAGGGAAAAAAAAATGCTAAAAGTCCTTCAATATTATAAGAAATAGATTTTAACTAAACTAAATAATTCCTTGATGGATAGATATATATGGTAAATGAGAATGCATCACCGAATCCTGTGATTATATAAACGAATACGATATGTGCATCGTATTGAACCGTTTACATCAGTCATCGTACAATAAATAAAATTTTATCATTGACGTTAGCAATAGATCTTTACTATAGAATCTGCACCACCACTTGCTATCCAAGGTAAAGAAGGATGATATTGAACGGACAACACTCCTTCGTCTGATTTTCGACGATGTGTTACAAATTCTTGAATACAATGTCGAGTCGATACGATATCCCACAGACGAATGGAACTATCATGTCCTATTAAAGGTAAGAACATGAAAATATTTAATATATCAATAATCTAACTGAATAATTAAAAATAATTTCATATAATCATTACCTCCTGATAACAAAATCATTCCAGATGGATCAATGTCAAGCGACGTAACTGAATCCAAATGGGCTTGCATCGAATAAGTACATTTACCTAAAATGATAAAAAAGAAAAGGTGAGCGAAAAAATAATAATTACTTTGAAAAAAATTTAAACAAATGATTACCGCTATTAATGTCAAAAAATCGAATGTATTTATCCTCATGTGCTGAGAATATTAAAGACATTGTAGGATGAACGATAATACGATTGATCTGTGTTTCGGGCGTGTTATTATACGTATCATCACTCTTAAAAGTTAAAATACTTTGTCCGCTTTTAATATCAAATAGTTTAATGATAGAATTTTGATATGATACAGCAATCTTCTTCAAATCACTGTGTACAAAATCTACCGAAGTTGGTATAGGGGGACGACCTTTAAATAAAGCATAACACAACGTTAACAAAATAAATGTCGTTTAAAGAAAATTTTCCTTTTCAAGAAAAAAAAAATAAGTTTTGAACATACCTTCTCCGTTAACAGTTTCTTCGCTATTAACACCATAATAGCTCCAAGAGCATTTCAAAGGTGATCCTTCAGCCTCAGTGTCCCAAATTTTGACCGTGCCATCGGCAGATGCCGATGCCAACAATTGGATATTTTGATTAGGCACGGGGAATAATCTTAAATCCCAAATAGCATCCGTATGACCAATGTAGGTGGTCAGGTTTAGTGAAGGATCTGATCAATATAATAATTAATTCTTCCCGACAGAGGAAAAACGATTTGACAAAAATACAAACAATGTTCTATGACTTTAATTTAGAAATTAAAATTTAAAATAATAGTTACCGACAGGACCATAAGTATCGCGTTTAGATGAAGGAAAATTCCACACACGAATTGTAGCATCCATACTGGCCGAATAACACCTTCGTTGATCCGATTCCATCACAACCGAATTAACTGCCGCTGTATGTCCTCGGTAGGTCATAGCTGGTTCTATATCTGGAACGGATGCTGGTCTTTGAAATTTTAACATTTGTTAGAATATAAATCTTTTTAATAAGTAAAGATATTTTACATTTATTTAATATCGTACTTATGAGACAGTGGACCTTTCAAATCCCATAATTTTACAGTACCATCTTCGGAACCAGATAAAAACATGAGCTCAGTTTTATGCCACGAAAGAGACCTGACTGTATCAAGATGACTACATGCGAAAAAAAGATATATGTAGCTTATAAGTTGACTTAGAAAGAAATTGAATATTAAGCAATTTTTACCTCCTCATAGTAAATCTTTGTCTCCACATTTTGTGATCTGTACAGTTTTCCTGTTTTTTATCAATCTGAAAGCATTACAATCACTTCAATCATATAAAAAATAAAAGATATGTTTATTGAAATTAATTAATACCTCAGATTTTTGTGTACTTTCCTCTTCTTCAATATTAAAACTAAGCTCATCTAATTGCGGATCGGAAGCTGATAAAGATATATTAATTAGAATCAAATGTTATAAATATACATTAATGAAAACTCGCTTAATAATGGATAACAAACCCAAAATTTCCGGACTTCTTCGTTTAGCATTTTTCATCAAATTCTTTACTTTGACATCTGATAGGCCAAACTTTTTCTGTACATCTTTGGTCTATTTCCAACAAAAGATATAATTTATTCAGAATGATAATTATGAAACTTTTTTTTTTTTTGAAGAAAATTTTAAAAAAAAAAAATATAAATATACCAATTGCTCCTCCTCTTCTTTAATTTCATTTGGGCTTTTTATAAATCTATTTTTTTTAACTTGATTGGAAATTTTCCACTCCCTTTCATTCTTTGCTTTATTATGTGTAGTAGAAGTACTATGGTCTGATAAAAATTCACTTTCTTTTTCACCATTAGTAACAACCGATCCAATTATTCCATTGTCTACTGATGATTGATTATTCGATGAAATATTGACTATGGAGTTTCCTTCAAATTCCGGTGAGGTTGGAGAAGATTGTTCATAATCGGATAATCTCCTACCACCTTTAACTAATTCACCTCTCGAGTAAGAGGGAATAGACCTCCCTTCTCGTTCCACAGATATAGAATTCGAACTTTCATTCAAAGGCATTGGATAGTTTAATGGAGGACTTGAAGAATTAGCTGAAAATATCGGTGAAACTATAGAGGGAGATGTAGGTGCTGGTCTGGAAGGTTTAATGGAAATATCGTCTGGGTTTTTTGGTGATGTTCCATTATATGCATTTACATTTTCTCCAATAAATATAGAATTATATCTAGTATTTGGTTTCCGCGTTGCATTAGTATTTCCATCCAAGCCTGCTGGATGATTTGAAAATGGACCATCTGGACCACTTGGATAGTTTGAAGTACGATTATTAACGGATAAATTATTCGTTGCAGCGTCCGTAAGATAATCGATTTCTTGTAAACAACTATAATTTAATAATTCTTGTTAAAATTATTAATATAAATAAAAAATTAATGAAAACTGATTTTTAAAAAATATTTGCATACGCTTTAAGAAGTTCACGACTTTTTGTGCGATATTTAGGATCTCTAATTGATGTTAAACTTTTGTATTGTAAAGACGCTGAATTCAATGTTGATGTCATAGTTGATGAATTTTTAAGAGATTGTGTATTATTTAACGTTACAGGCAATTCGGCTGGATGACCATAGGGAATAACAATAAAATAAAGTAAATTGGTTCGATTTAATTTGCGACTGAAAAAGATAAGGTTTAAAATGAACCAAATAAGAAAACTTACGAAAAATTTTCAAATTCGCAACTTACGTCCTTCTTCATTTGCAGGTGTTGACACATTAGGTGATTCTCCTGCTGGAGGTAAACCAGCCAAGTATTTTCTCCTTTTGTAAATAACAATGTGAATTAATAAATTGACATAATTCATTCCGTAAAGTTTATGAAATAGAAAATAGAATGATATAATACCTTTCTTGTCTCAAGGCAAATTCCAGCATTTTAACACGTTTCATTAAATCTGTTTTCATTTTTTCAATTCCTCGACGCTCGCCTTCCAATAGTGCAATTCGAGCCTATTTATGCAAAATAATAAATGGTTTTTATTAATAAATTCAACAACTTTTTAAGACGTAACATCAAAATAATCCCCAAAGTGTTTTGAAATCCAACTTCATTTCGAAACATACCTTCATTTCCGCGCGCTCAATTTCCCATTCATTTCTATCTCGCTCATAACGTCTCCACTCTGATTGAAGGAAATGAAGTACTCCTGGCAAGGTATATTCTGGTGGTTGAGGCTGTTGTACTTGCTGTTGCGGTTGGCCAAAGGTTTGTGCCATTATAACAGGTAAAATGAAAATATTTATACGTAAGAATAGTGTGATGCGGAAAAATTAAAGAAACAATTAGCATCATACAACGAGAGAGGTAAAAAAGAGGGACTATTGGATCCCAACAAAACGTGTTGACAAGTTTGTTTACAACTTTTTAAAGGTTAAACATACTTTTTTATCGATAAACTCGGTCACACAAGTTACGTCATAGTCTTAACATCGTTATATTGTCAATTAATTTAATTGACAAACCATGAAACCGCTCCAACTAGTTAATTCTTCGGCATAAAAAAAAAAAAAAAAAAATACATCATGGAACAGGTATAATATTTTTACAGACGTAACTCGATGGGAGGGCAAAGTTAACATTTTTTCTTTACATTTTTACTGCATATCTTTTTTCTTTATAGGCTTCAAATTTATTAATAGTCCTTGGGATTGTTCAAGTGGCTCGCAAATTAGATTTGGAGAACCCGGATGTATTAGTGTATGTTCGACTTGGTTATCTTTTTACTCAGACTATCATACTTGTAGTCTGTTTTTACCTTGCAACCAAGATAAAGGCAAAGAATGGTAAGTTTATCTTTGCATCGTTTTATTATTCAGTACTTTCAAGTTATGTATACTCACAAGATCTTTGTATAATAGATACCACCACCCTCAAATATGTTGAGCCACCAAAGCCATTTACCAACGAACCAGAAAAGCCTATAGAAACAAATAATAGAGATTATGATCTTTCAAAAGTACAAGAATTACTCAAACAAACCTTGATTGGAGTTGCCTTTATGTGTGTTTTGCATTTTTATTGGAACTTTACTCAACCTTTATTTATTCAAAGTCTCCTTCCATTGAAGAATTTGTATAGTAATCAAGTGGTTAAAATTCATTTGTTTGGCAAACCAGCTGAAGGTGATTTGAAAAGACCATTTAAAGTAAATTCATCTTTTGGTCAATTTTTTCAACAACCACAAACCGATAAGGCATCTATTAAAAAAGCCATCAAAGCTTCAAGATCTGGTGGTAAAAAGGATGATTAAACTATAGCAAAATAATTTTATCATCATCTATATAATTTCAATAATTATTGCAATGTAATCAGATATTAGAATTAAATAGGCAAGATTAAATTGTATTATTTTATTTTATGCATTCTTCTATCTTAATTACACATTTTACACATTTTACACAGTTAAATCTTTCTTTAATAAAAAATATTAACGTTTTTGAAATTAATATAATATATTATTACCCGAAAATATGATAAATTTTGTTTTTGTTCACTTTTTGCCTTTTTTCTTTTTACCACTTCCACTACTATTTTCTGGTACAATTACATCACCACCAACTATATCAGGATTATCTTTTATTTTCTCTTGTGCTTGAAAAAAAAACATCAAATCTCTTATTTGTTCTTCAAAATCTTTGATTTTAGCATCTTTATCTTCAAGTTGCGTTTGCAAGTATTGCTGTTTAGTTAATAGAGATTTGGTAATCTAAATTTGTTTATTATGTAAAATCGATTTATTATTTTAGTAAAGGATAGATTTATTTACCAACAAAAAAAAAATATTTAATTTAATATTACCTCCTTCTCATCTTTCAGTTCTCTTTCCAGTTTCTCTGACTTTTCAATAAATTTCTCAACTTTTCTTTCGACAGATTTCTTCTCTCTTATTAATGATGGAATCTTATCTTTTTCCAATGTTTCCTTTTCACTTTGAACTTTATCTTTATCCTGTTTCAAAGCAGAAACTTCATTTTCTAGCTTCTGATACTGATTGGTCAATTGTGATAATTGTAATGTTACGGAATCAAGTTTTTCTTCGTAAAATGTTCGTTGTGATGAAAGTTGAGTTGATAAAAGATAACTATATTCTAACCCAATGGCGTCAAGTTTATCCTAAGAATGGGGAAATTTTCTAATAAGTTAAAATAATCAAAATGGTAAGAAGCTCATAATTATCACTCACCTGATTAACTTGATCATGTCTTTGCTGTTGTATTTGAGATGGTGCATCAGGACCGGGTAATTCCACTAATTTACCATCTGTTTTATTCTGTATTAAACGATGAACGTAACTAAAAAAAAAAAATTTCAAAAAACTACCATTATTACAAATAAAAAGAAAGAAATAAAATAAAATGATAAATTTTCCTCACCCATCACCGGCGTAATCCCACACTCTTTGAGTCTCCAATTCTAAAGCGTATAAATGGGAAGTTTCGTTATAATGACAATATGCGTGAGCTTCTTGATATCGTCCGCATCCAATGTTACCACAGACTAAGCATATCCACAAGTTTTCTGTTGCTCCACAAACACCACATTCATTTTGCTCCAGTGATGTATCATAATAGTTACGTTTCTGACTATATCGACAAACCGGACAACTTTTTACATCGTCATATTATAAAAGAGAAATATATCTATTTAATTCTATGGTTCATTAGTCGGTTTGCAACGATATATTTTAGATGGTGCAATTATATCTTATTTACCTGCTATCACCCCATTTACTTAAACAATTACAATGAAACGTATGTTGACATAGAATTGTGAGCAATCCTGTAACAGATGCGTCCATTCTTTCAAGACATACGGGACATGTTGGGAGTTCATGTAACGGGGAAGTGCTTTGCTTAATTTTATCATCTTGCGTAGATGATGGATCAACTTCACTTGATAAAGGTAAGAAAGGGTCATGTAAAAAAGGAAATGCATATGGTGGGATGGAAGTTGATTTGAACTCGATAGATTTGATATATACAACATGACATATCTCGGGCTAAATGAAGTGGAATGAATATCAATGATAATTCAAATTAAGTAATGTTGTTTTAGTTAATAATGAACCTACCTCCATTGAACTAAACGGACGAGCATTGAATTGTTTATAAAAATCTTTAGCAGCTCGTGCATGACGAAACTTCATTAACACTATAAACTTGTTCGGAGCTGAATCTCTGAAATAAAACCTTTGTAAATATATTTGAGAAGAAAAAAATAAAATTAATTTGCTAATACGTACCTTATAAATCTAAAGTGACTAACATATTTCCTTACTGGAGCAACAAAACTTAAAAAATCAGAAGCTGTCATATATGATGGAACAGCCAATACAGCCAATATTGTTGCGTGATTCCCAAGACTAGGAAGATCATCACGCTTTTCACTCTCGACCGAATTTCTTTCTTTATAATCAGAACTTTTTAAATTATCATTAGGAGTATTCATAATATTATCATTCGCGTGATCTTCTTCTTTTGGAGGAATTTCTTTGGGATCACGATAAAGATGTAATATACCATAACTTAGATTTGTTTTTCCGGAATTTAATGGAACAAATTCACCAGCTGGAGAAATAGTAGTTTTTTCACTACTAGATTTAGTTTTCTTTATAGATGAAGGTGAGATACTCTCTGAAGATTCTGTCTCATTTTTGTTTCCATTGTGATTATTGTTGACTGCATTGGTATTTGATTCTTCATTCATATTTTCTTCAATATTATCAAACCACTCAATCTCAATATTACCAAATCGAAAATCGTGAGTTTTATCAAAATTTAAAGTACGATCTTCTGTGAATTGAGGTAATGTAGCAGACGTAAAAGATTTTCTTCTACGAACAAATGTACTGCAATTAGATGATGATGAAGTGAGAACACCCGAAAAATTATTATGTGACTGGCTTTCTTTTGATACAGGAGTGGGAGGAATCAACGGTATTTCACTAGAGCGAAGATTTTTTGCTTGATCTACCGATTTTGATCTAACTTTCGACTTAATTTTTGACTTCGATTTATTAAAGCTATTGGATCTTTTTAATGATAATTTCTTATTAGAATTTGACCGGTGTGTTGGAAGCTTTTCGAAAATATCTTTAGGAACGAAATATGGATCAGAAGAATTATTTTGTTCAGAGGTTTCTTTTTTATTTATTGAAGAACTTGAATCGTGTAAATTTATAGCCTGAATACTACTAGTAAGAGGGTATAACTCGAATTTTAAATGATAAAAGTACATAATCCAAACAATTAGAGAGTGGTTTTATCATGCATTATAATTAAAAATAAAAAAAACGCCCTTAATAGTCACAATCACGTGAAAAAAATCTGATGAATGTTACACATTCTTTTGCGATTCATTGTTCCAGATACACAAGTTGACTTTTCTTTCAACTCAAACAACAAAAAAGAAAATATATCATTTATTAAAAAAAAATGACTTCCAAACATTACAATTTTTCAGTCAGTGTAACTTAATTAACATAACGTTATAAAAGTTTTAATAAATTATCCATTATAGAAAAATTAATTAAATAATTTCATTTGATAGCTCAAATGCAATATTTTTTGTAAATTTTCTTAGATCTTTTCTATATTCTCATTTTATTTAAATAGAACAAATCTTGATTATTCTAACTATATTAATATTTCTTTTAGCTTAAAAATTTATTGA